AATGCAACAGCCAATGCAACAGCCAATGCAACAGCCAATGCAACAGCCAATGCAACAGCCAATGCAACAGCCAATGCAACAGCCAATGCAACAGCAGATACGTGGAAACCAAAGCCACGCTATTTATGCCAGTGATGAAGGCGAGGAAGAGGAAGAGGAGGACGAAGAGGAATCTGACAGTGATGATTCTGTATTTGCTAAAAAGAAGCAATCTATATCAAAATCCCAAGAGATAGAAACTACAAACAATATCAAGAAAGAAACACCTTTGTCATCAAATACAAGTTTACCCATAAAGGAAACCAAAAAAGCTGAGCCATTCGATACAGATGAGGATAGTGAGGAGGACGAGTCTGATGTTGATACAAAGCCAAAGTCTCAACCAAAGAAGCCTCGACCAAAGGCAACGCAGACACAAATTAGTGATTCTGAAGAAGAAGAAGAAGAACAGGAAGAAGAAGGCTACAGTGATAGTGATGACGATATTCCTATTCATCAATCAAGACAAACATTATACTATAATCAACATCACCCTCAAGGAGAGGAGTATTATGATGAAATGTACGACACTCAACAGTATTACAGTAACGGATACCCCATAATGACTGAAGATGGCCCGGTTATTCCTCAGCTAGGCGACAATTTTGCTACTCAAAACTCATTATTAGACACATTTAGACCAGATCATCCCTCTGCTCGAGATCAAGAAGGCTATGCAAGAGCTACGGGCCAGCCATTGATTCAAGTACCCAACAAACCTCCAGAGCCTCGCGCTGGTTTGGTTGGTATGATCTCTCAAATTGAACATGAAAAGAAACAAAAGGAAGCAAACAAGAGTAGATTACTTGATAAAGAAGGCATATTGCAAAGAGAACGAGAAAGATATCTTATGGAACAGAGAGCACAACAGCAGTCGATGCAGCAACCACAACACTCAATGATGCAGGTGAGTTTCTGTAATTGCATTTACCATATCCATAACTCACAGGTATGATAGCCACCCATGATGGGTATGATGAATCAACCCATGATGAATATGCCACAGATGCCCATGATGACTGGTCAAATGCCAATGATGGGTTTAATGGGACAGCCCATGATGTATCCAATGATGAACATGCCCATGATGCCCATGATGATGGACCCACACATGTCCATGATGCTAATGCAGCAACAATATAGCCAATACAATCCAATGTGGAGCCAATCTCAAATGTTTGCTAATTCTCGTTTTACCAACAGTGTACATGAAGATGATGATGAAGATGACGATGTTCCTCTTGGTGCTAAAGAATCACCTGCACCTCGTCAGCAACAAAAACAATAAAATCCCTTTTCTTTTTCTAATGCATATTTATTTGAATGGTACAAGCAGCAGTAATGGCAATAATAATATTAGTAATATCAACAGTCTAGAATGAGATACCTTCTTTATGTAACTCGTTTTCAATAACATCCATGACTAACTGTGGTTCTGGTCGTTCAACAAATGTGACTCTACGTTCCTTGTCTAATAAGCCAACAAATTCGCTTGGTAAGATATCCTTTTCAAAGTTGAAGTGGGGATTTGACTTTAAGGAGTTTTCAACAGCTTCAGAGAACTTTGCAGGATGAGCAGTAGCCAAACAAATCAAGGTATGCGACCCGTTAGGATATGTCTTGAGCTGTTCACGTTCAATGAATTCATCAGCTGCTGCAACACCAACAGCTGTATGAGGATCAAGTACATAAGGCTTCACCTGTTTATCTGTAGGTTCGTAATAGGCACGAATAGTAGCTGATGTCTCTTCATCCGTGACACGGCTAGCATCAAATATTTGACGTGCCTTGATGACAGCTTGATCAGATACCTTGAATACACCTTTTTCCTTCAACTCTTGCATCCATCTGGCGACTGTTTGTCCTGCCTTATCACAGAGTTCCTCATTCTCTGTCTGTCCTTCATCTGCCTCTGTTTCGCGAGCCAAGTACCATAATAAACGCTCAAAGTTAGATGATACCAAGATATCCATAGCAGGAGATAAGGTAGCCTTAACAGCACCATCACCGCCGGTCTGTTTTTCATATGCGTGTGAGCGGAAGAAGCGATAAAGAATATCATTTTCATTGGTAGCAATCAACAGCTTGTTAACGGGAAGACCCATACGATAGGCATAGTAACCAGCCAAGACATCACCAAAGTTACCAGTAGGAACAGAGAAATCAAACTTGATGGATTCAGCTTCAGGAGATGCGGGATCGATATTTAAAGAGCGAAGAAGGGAAAAGTAAGCTTGGAAATAGTAAACTGTCTGTGCCAAGATACGAGCCCAATTGATAGAATTGACAGCACCCAAGTGATGACGGTCATTGAATTCCTTGTTACCAAACAAGATCTTGACGATATCTTGACAGTCATCGAATGTACCTTCGACGGCCAAGTTGTGGACATTAGCATCCAAAACGGTTGTCATTTGTGCTTCTTGAATAGGACTGACTCTTCCACGAGGATGAAGGATAAAGACAGAGACATTCTTTTTGTTTCTAAGGCCATAGATGGCAGCACTAGATATATAGATTAGATACCAATCGTCATTATGTATACATTTCATACCTTCCGGTATCACCAGAAGTAGCACCAACAACAGTAAGGCGATGAGTTTTTCCACCGGCGGGTTCTTGTCTATTGCGTCTTTCTAAAAAGTATTCAAAGAGGTTGCCAACAAATTGAAGAGCGACATCCTTAAAGGCAAAGGTTGGGCCATGGAATAGTTCCAACACATAGAATCCGTCTTTAATCTTGGCCAAGGGTGTGACATCACTTGATCTGAAGGTTGAATAAGAGCGATTGATAAGGGTTTCAAGATCTTCTCGAGGGATTTCAGATGAGTCAATGTACAAAGACAAGATACTGGCAGCCAACTGCTGGAAGGTGTACTGAGACCAATCCTGACGCCAGTTGTCAGGTAATTTAGGAATGGCTTGAGGAATAAACAAACCACCGTCGGGAGCAAGGCCCGTCATGACAGCTTCTTCAAAGCTGTAGTTTTTGGCTTGTCCACGAGTAGATCTATACTTCATTTTTTTATTTGCTGTGTAAAGAAGAGTAACAAGTATTCAATCAGGGTCTGCATTTTTATTGGTGTTAAAAAAGGTGAATAGTGACTCATTTTTTATCGACTTTCAAAATGGCAGGTAAATCTATAGAAAACTCCGACAACAGTGAGCTGAATCTGGCAAGAAAAAACTACGCACGTTATCAGTGAGCATACGGCTGGTTTAACAGGCGGATTGTAGTAGGAATGGAATAAGCTGTTGATATATCCAAAACTGTAGAGCAAATTAAATTGTTTATTTTCATAATGCTCATTTGGCAAATGCTTTATTGAGTATCCAATCCTTGCACTTTGTAAAAGTCTCGGATAAGCAACTTGGCTACTCATGTTGATAATTTCAACATACTCAAGGTCATTTACATAAAGAGTATTAATATGGTGAGAAATAGTCAAGCATTTTTCAAATTGATGTAATGAATATGGTTTCCTTTTTCATTAACAATATAAAAGACACTTATAGATGAAGATGTCACTTTCTAAAGTATTGACTTCACATGCATCAGTGTTAATTGCTCCTCGGATGTTTTTGCGGTTAAATAAAATAGCAAATGGAATGACACTTTGCATTCTATTTCCATTTGTAGTACAACTGTGTCATAAGTAACTGGAAATAATCAGATGAGATCATATCCTGCATAATGGTAAATTGTTTGATTCGAAGAAATAAAAAATAAAAAAAAAGTGTGTTAATTGATGCATGAGTGCATGCAATTATATGTATGCATACTGTCACTCACATAACGGAATACAGAAATGACTTTCTTTTAATAATATTGATCATTCGTCATCATGAGATAGCATCAGCTTCCGTGATGAAGGTGTACCTTAATGGCCATTGATAATGTTACCATGTACCTTAAAAGCCACGATTTCCCCCGCAACAGGGTCATTGTGTAACTTGATATCATGGCAACATTTTATCATAAATGAAGCAAATCAATGCATTATAGCTTCAGTACGAGCCATATTCAATCATAAAGATGAGAGATCACCATGGCAATGGTGCATATATGAGTTCCATTTTAAGAAAAATGGGAATACCCTGCTTTCTTTGTTGTCATCCCTTAATCAAAAAGTGTCACCCCTTTGTATAAATTTACATGCAAATGAAAAATCCTTCTTTTTTCTTTTCATTTCTTTTAGCTTTTTTTGTATAAAAAATATGTTGTCCAGAAAAAACAAGATTTACTTTATGCTTGTTATTACAACTTGCTTCTTCTTTGTAGAAATTGTAATTGGCTACTATGTTAGTTCGTTAGCATTGGTAAAGTATGCTTCATTTTTAGTTAGGATACACTGTTTTTCTAAACCATTCATTATTTCTTTTACAGATTGCTGACTCATTTCACATGTTGAATGATCTTCTTAGTATGTGTATCGCACTATGGGCTATCAATGTAAAAAGAATCTATGAATTGCCTTTACTATATCTAACATCAATCTATCAATAGGTTGCCTCTTCTACAAAATACGATCCTAGATACTCTTATGGATGGCAAAGAGCCGAAATATTAGGCGCGTTGATCAATGGTGTATTTCTACTTGCCTTATGCTTCACCATTCTTATCGATTCGATCGAAAGGTTCGTTTCTCCTGAAGAAATTAAGAATCCTGTCATGGTATTAGTCACAGGTGGTGCGGGGTTATTAGCTAATGTCGTCGGCCTATTCTTATTTCACGGTAATATATGCGCCATTGCTTCATTACAAACGTAGTTGACATTATCTTTAAAAAGATCATGGACATAGTCACGGACATAGTGATCCGGAGAAAGGCAATCACAGTCATCATGGAGGTGGTCATTTAAATATGAAAGGGGTAAACATAATCTATTTATGCTCATATAGATGGCTAATTGGACTATAGATATTTTTACATGTTCTTGGTGATGCATTGGGAAACGTAGGCGTTATTGCGTCCGCTTTATTCATATGGCTGACTCCATTCAGCTGGAGATTTTACTTTGATCCTCTCGTTAGGTTTGTTGAGCACAATTGTTTGTTTTGATTTTACTCATTTTTTGCTTAGTATCCTCATTACGATCATTATCTTTACATCGGCTCTGCCACTGGGTGTGTAGCTCAATGACTTCATTTGCTTACTCATACTAACCATCATGCCTTAGTCCGTCAAACAGCATCTATTCTGTTGCAAGGTGTTCCCAAGAGTGTTCCTCTTTCAGATGTCCATGAGTCGCTTGTAAAGGTAAATGATGGCGGATTTAGCAAAGACAGATTACACTGACTGTTTATCAGCTGGATGGTGTTTTATCAGTGCATGAGCTTCACGTGTGGCAACTGTCAGACACAAAGCTGATCGCCTCACTTCATGTGTTAATCGAATCAAGAGAAAAATATATGGATTTAGCTTCACAAATACGTGGATTACTGCACAGCTTTGGTATTCACTCGGCCACCATTCAGCCTGAATTTATAGATGATAAAAAGACTGATCAAGCATTGTCTATTATGCCCAAGGAAGAGAATACAAACCAAAGTGGCACTCTGAATGATACTAGCAGTGATATTGCCAGCGACCATAACTCTGGCCAGGTAAGCTAAAGGTTCTTGTTGAATTCATTATGCTTATTGATACCTCCTTCATTTATAGGATCTACAGAATTCATCAACATGTCTATTACGTTGCACAGAAGACTCTTGTTTAGAAAACAACTGCTGTCCTCCATTACAGAATGAAACACAGTAACCTCTCTTGTGATGTACTATATAAAGAAATGTATATTTTTATTGCCGTTTTATTCTAAATAATGTTTAACAATCTCCGGAGCAAGCATTGAATGCTTCCCGAGCTTTTAAATTCAATACAGTAGCTTGATTATGATTTCGTAAACGAGTTTTTTTTATAGCCATCGCTTTGTGTCAAATATGTTTTTACTTCGAGGAACTAGTGGCTGTATCTCTTTTTTTTGATGAACCGTCTTCTTTCACATTGTACAGTAAGTTTCTGTAGTCAGAATCAATGAAAGCAGTAAATTCAATTCTTCTGTACATACCCCTTCTCCCTGTATTTAACTTTCTTCTTCAATCAAAGATAGCTGATGTATCAATGTGCGTTTATATGTTCAATCTGATTTTTACTGGTGCCCCAAGTATAGATTTAATATAAAATGACGTTGTTTGTAATAATGGTCCCCTTCTCTCACCTTAATACACAATGAAGAGATTATATAAAGATTCATTGACATAAGTTTCCCTTATCACTTCTTTATGGATTGGTATTGATCAAAGAATTATCAAGCTTTCTTCCGAGTGCTTATTTTGGGACAAGACTGTTGTAAATAAGAGATTTAACATCAAGAAAGAGGAAATGTACTTATATTAACAAATATTTTTTTGAGCTTATAATTAATCTAAACCTCAATTAGGTGTGTGGTGTTTAATTTTGTGTCTCTTTCGCCAAAGTCATATCAGAAGAGGAAGTGGAAGCTAAAAAACCCTCTGTTGATGTGTAACCAAGGTGTTGCCATCTGATTTGCTAACGGACATACGGTCTATTTTAGAAGGAAAGTATCATTATTAGGGAGTGAGCTTAAATGTATCATCAAAGGCAACAATAAAATGATCTGATAATCAATTAACAATTACGGTAGTCGTCTCTTAAAATAATGAATTTGATGTAAATACAATCAGGGCTTTGATGATACTAAAAATAATCAGTGTAAATACAAATATTCGGATTTGACAACAATCGGACATTTTAGCAGAATAGACGCATTTCATGACATAAATCAGATATTATGCTGTTCATCAATAGATGTTGCCAATAAGAGCCTAACGATCGACGGTTTAAATCGCAGAAAGAAAATAAGAGACTAGTGCTTTCGTCATTGATCGCTGGTATGTACCTTTATATACTAATGTGTGTGTATATAAACAGAAAGCAGAATTTTTATACAAAAAAAAGAAGGGATAGTGGTTAGCAGCAGGAGAAAGAAGAAAAAGAAGAGAAGGGGTGAATAATATACAAAATGCAAATGTTCAAATGCAGGAAAAGAAAAAAAAAAAGGTCTAACTTAATCCAGATATTGTTGTTCCATCTCCTAGACCATCTAACGCACCATTAGCGCTAATTGGACAGGCGAAAGTTGCTGAGGAATCTATAGTTGGATGAACTTTAATAAATAGTACTCTTGCAGTCAGATGAATCGTATAATCAACCGTGATGTCCTGTTTTTTTTCTCCTGTCAGTCCACATTTACTTGCAAGGTCACTCAAGACAGATTGATCCGTATCTAATGTTGGGTTATACTGAATGGCGAACGGAAATGTAAAGTTAAAGTTGCTATATTTAGGTACAAACTGTTCTGCTAGGTATCCTCCTCCTACTCTTGTACGCCCTTTTCCACTTTGATTGGGGTAATAAGCCTATGATGTGTATAAGTAGATTATATGGCCATATAATTTTGTATACTTACAGTAGCTTTGATATCTGTCAAGTCTATACTTAATAAATTTGGGTTATTGACTGATATAATTAATCCAAAATTGATATTGAATGTTTCTCCAGTAAAACTAATTTGTGAGCCACCTTCGGCAGGACTTGTTGATACACCAGCCATATCAACTTTTGGCATGACAAATGTACCAGCAACAGCACCGAGAACAATGACAACAATGATGATAGCAACTATAATGAACCACACGATTCCTGCTGCCCATGCCGGAAGACAGCAAGCACAGCATAGACACCTTAGGCAGCCATTTCTATTGTCCATACGTCTCTTTTTCATACCCTTTTCAGTATCTATATATTGAATGTCTATATTTTTTATTAATTATTCATTATATTGTAAGCAATTTTTTCTAACCACTCATTTTTTCTGTATCCAAGTCCATGTTTGGTGGTTTCACAGTAGGCGTTGGTGAAGGTGTCATGATTTGATGGGTAGGTAAAGGTGGGGGCTGTAATGGTCCATTCTCTTGAATACTGTATTCATTGTGTCTTGTAGCTGACATGCTTTTAAGAATAAGGTGAAAAGAAAAGAGAAAGAGAAAGAAAGGATTAGGTTTGATAAGTAGGTTTTAGCTTGCTTTTTCTATTTCGGAATCCGGCGATACAAGTTAATCCGTTACAACCCCGCTTAAAGTATTTTTATTCGTGTGTTCTGGACAAAAAGGAAAGTGTATTTTATACTTTACATGTTTTCTATGTCCAAAAGCACATGGCAGTTATATTTTTAACTGGCGTACAAATCATTTAGCCGTCAAAAAGAAAGTATAGCTTTGACATATTTACTGTACCTGTATATATTTTTCTGGAGCAGTAAGGTGATCAGTATTGTCCCTCTCTTAATCGATTCGGAAATCGTAAGTTGACAAGAATAAAAGTCAGGAGCCTATATGCCTTTGCACTCGATGAACAGATTAGATACTTACAGAAAAAAAATCTTACAAGGACTTGTCAAATTCATTCTTTTTGAGCACCCCAAAAATATGAGTGTGGTATCCATGGCAATACGTCAAAATTATACTTTTTACTAAAAAAAAAAAACCTAGTAATGCTTTTAAGGAGAAGAAAATGTCCCAACTTTTTCTTCTCGAACAAAAAGTAAAATATACAAGATTAATCGAAGGAAGACATTCGCATCCCTCTTTCTATCTCTTTCTTTTTTCTTTTTAAACACACAGACATAAACAAAAGGACATTTAGCAGCATAGTTAAATAAAAGCGATTTGCTTACAACTTCATAGTTATGCAAAGCTGGGGGTATAATCTTATCAGTATCCTTTTGAAACAGATGTAGCTCTGTAGCTTATTCAGCGCCTCTCTATCTCCAAATGCATTAAACTACCACTGCTGTTCATCTCAGTTTTTAGAAAAAAGAGTCACAGACCGTTTATGACTTTCTGTATATTGTTGAAGAGAAACCCTTGATTCAAAGGCGCTGCTGCCCCCAAAAACTATACTTATTCTTCATTTACTTATCTCCAAAATCACAAGCTTACTGCATATAGCCTTGTGATCTTGAGGCTATGTTGATTGAGAGTCAATTGACTACACTAGTTGATTATTTGACTTGCTTGATGGACAATGTCTCTGTCCTAGATGTCTCTTTCTTTCTCTTTGTAAACTGATTTGCCTTATTATCTACTATGACCTGTTTGGGGAACCATGGTTGCTTAATTTATAATTAATTAAGCTGCTGTTTAAGGAGCCATTTTCCTTTCAACAAGGTTAGGATATCAACATGTCGGAGATTCCATTAGAGGAACAATAAGAAAAAATTGATCATAGGATACTTCCTTTTCTTTTATTTCTTTACATTTGAAGAGGAGATGATGCAGCAATGATAAAACTTTCTATAGTCAATCTAAACAACTCTGTTTGGTAACGGATGGTCATTCATTACTCTTTTGTATGTGTACACTAAATTTGAGTTAATTAGTAAACTACTTCTGCTATTGTTTATTTTAATATCTATTACTTATTTCTATCAATTGATCCTACTACACGTTTTATTAAATGTATTATGTAATATTATACTCTGCATAACTTATATGTTATTCATCATCTTTATTTGTAGCTTATTCTTATGACTGTTACTTCAATTCATCATCTTTGACAACTGTTAGCAAGGTACCAACGACGAATACCAGCACGATACCAGAGGTTGATGCATTAGTTTATGAATCAGTGGCCAAACAATGGGGTGATATATCTCTTAGACAGCGTCGTAATTCATCTTCAACCATGTCCACTTCTTCATCATGCACATCACTTGTTTTATCACCGTCGTCATCTACGACCTCGCTAGGCTCTCACTGGAGCTTTGACTCAAAACGATCAAGGGTAGCAGAGCTAATTCATTTATTCGAGACTGGTTCTCATCCTGAGCAAAGAAGACATAGTATAGACACATGCTACCATTTTCATTCAAGACCTTATATCCAGCAAAGACGATTTGAATATATACCTACTTTGAAAGAATGGGAGAAGAGGGAAGACAAACGTCTCCCTATCCAATTAGTTTCATCACAGTCAACGTAAGTTCTCTCTCTCTCTCCGTTTTTTAATTCATATTAATCATAACTTAGCCCCATCAAAAAATTGGTAAAGAAGCGTGAAACAAAGATAAATGATACATACTCTCAGTGCAAGGTCACATCAGCACGTGACCTTTCTTGGACTCCAACACAAAGACATCGAAGCTCTTGAAAAAGAGTGAGCATTTCTTTTCCTAGTCAATAAAATCATCTATTTCGGAATTAAATTGTCTTTTTTTTTTTTTTTTTTTTTTTTCCAACTTGTTCAACTTAGTATTTTTTATGCTTGGTGATAAACAACTGCTAGATAGACAAGTAAGACTGTCAATATTTGGTTTGAATAAAAGAGACAGCGAAAAAGAGAGAGAAAGAGAGAGAAAGAGAGAGAAAGATAGAAAGACTAACTAGCTTCTTTTACCAAGATTCAAGAAGCAAAAGTGCTCAATGCAGAATTAGCTCATCTAAGATCAAAGGCAGTAAGCTATTTTGCATTATTTATTTTTCATATAAACTAAACAGTGAGGATGAATAATAAGCAACTGTATGAAAGACAAGTGCCCTCTTCGAACTTGTTCTTCTTGGCAAAGGATAATGCTTCTGTTAAAAAGAAGAGTGAGGGTATGGTGGCATTGTTTTGTTTTCCATTTTGTTTGTCTAATAACCCATCTACTTAGAGTACCAAAGAGGACTAGAAAAGCAGAGACAGGAACTTAAATAAACACAAGTCATTTATATTGACGGAATAGCAGAGATAAAATATATTTAATCTATAGATACAGCAATTTTTAATAAACTAGTGTAGATACTACTTCAGAACCCGTCGCCTTGATTATTCCTTCAAAGAATGCATCAACTTGACATCCCGGCAGTTGCATTATCTGTATTTAATAAATAAATACAGTAATATTGACAGTGACAAAAAAAAAAAAAAAAAATAGCGACAAAATTGGGGATGTTAATAAGGCTAGATGATTTTTTTTTTGTTGGCAATTGTATTCAGTTCATTCACTCCAGACCGTAGTTTGAGGCTATGGCTCATCCAGATTAATGAGTAACATTGTAGACATGTTAACCCACGAGAGTAGTGTATTTGGTATAGAGGATAATTGACATATCTAATACACTAATCATGACAAAGTTTGAAAGGGCACTGTCTATTACGATGTTTCGAAGTGGAAAACACCTGATCAAACATGATTTTTGATATCGTTGGTGTAAGTCGCTTGATGAGAGTTTCGGTATCATTTGTACGCATATCAAAGACATTTAAAGCTTTCATGATATTTGACGTTTCAATGACTAGACTAGCCAAATTCTGCAAATTATCAGGAATCATTATCTCGGCAAGATCAAGGAGCACATACAAGCCGATGGCTGGTAAAATCAACACATAAAATTTAACAGTTCTCCCAATAATTTGGATTCCCAAAATACCTTCCATATGCTGACTATCAAGTGAATTTTTGCAAAACATAGCAACTCTGAGTAGGTCTTTACACACAAGGTAATGATTTAGACCATGAACAGCAGGTTTTACTTCTCCAAAACCACAGCTTGCGTCCCATTTGACTCCACAAGATTTCGTGATACACAAATCTGGCCGTCGATTCGAAAAATCAGGATGTATTCTATCTTCAAGAGTCGTTTCATTAGTCCATCGCAAGACACCTCATTGTCCGGATCATCAAAAAGGCCTGATAGAAAAGGATCCACAAACCGTGTGCATGGTTCGGATTCATTCACATCTTCTTCTATTGATACGAGTGGTAGCTTGGTAATCAAGGCACTCAACGTCTTCGCGAATTTGTGTTAATAACTTGAGAGATAATGATTTAAAATTGGTTTCCGCTTGCTCCCGGTTGATGGTTTTTGTCAATAGGTTATCAATTAAGCATGATGGTTGGATTGCAGCAATCAACTTTATATGTGATATGTACGGTATCAAAAAGCTTCCAGTGCCCCTGAATACTGTTACCAGTATGCTAGCCATAAAGAACGGCTTCACTTCATCAGGGTATTGATTGGACGACAAGAATAACATGGAGATTGATACCAATGCTAGGTGCAAATGATCTTCCAAAGACAATTTTCTCCTGTAATTCTTAAGTGAAAGTTGCGTCATACAAAAGGCATCAACTACGTTAAAGTTGTTAGCCATTGAATGGTCGTCATCAGGTGAATCGAATGTAGATCCGTCTAGAAAGACCAATTCATCGTGAGAATGCTTTTGCCCTACCGCCCCAGGATTTTGTTCGTGTTGATACTTGTCGTCGAGAATGTGGTTGTTACCATGATCATGTTGATTATCAAAAGAGGAGTTGTTTAATGTACTAGGTCGGCTTTGATATTGTGGTCGTGGATGTGATATTATGGATGAATAATTGTTTAACTCGGAAAATTAGAAGTACAGAAAGATAGAATGAGTCTCTTTGCAGTCATTTATGAACAAAGAAAAGAAAGAGAATGGGGAAGGAAGGAAAAATGAAAAAAAAAAACCTCCAGCCTATCATCCAGTATCTGAACCTTCAGACTCAACTCTGACTCAAAAAATACCTGTTGGAATTCAAAAAATCCTTGGCAGATTTCCTTTTTGAAAAAGTATTTTTAATAACCTACAAAGACTCATCTGTAACTCATAGCATTTAGAATACAGCTTATTCAATAAGATGATGTATCTTATGCCAAGATCCGGCTTATTTTCTTAATATAGCAATTAACAAAATCAAGACACCAAGGCTTCAAAAAGCTATAAAAGAGAGAGGTACACTTTTAATTCTATATCAAATCTCTTTGAAACTACTGTAAGTCCTATCCTTGTGCTATGTTTTCTCTTTTAGTATTTCTAAATAATGTATTGATACTCTAGTTTAACATGAATAACCAAATGAACAATCGTCTTACTGTCAATGATGAAGGCGTTCAGCGCATGATCGACAACAATTCAGCTATGTACTATAGTAACCAAATGATCATTGCCCAAAATATGACTCATCGACCTGTAAACACTATTAAGGCATATTCAGCCAAGCAAGAAGAATGGAAGGTAATTATGGAAAGTAATAAAGAAAAGATTTGAAAATCTAAATACGCTGTTTAAACATAGAAATGGTGCCTTGAACAAAGGTTTGGTGATGGAGAGATTGTCACTGACCAAAAGCTTAGCTATTTCCTTGCAGAATATGCCATGGAGCGAGGCCGAAGGCTTAGAAGAAATCCAGATGGTACCCCCATTGCTCTAGGCAGAGAGTCAGTCCTCGCCTATGTCAAAGCTATTGCAGACATGTACAGCAAGCAAAAGGCACTTGGCTTAAATCCCCATGGCTCTGCAAGAGGACACCTTGTTAGGACTTTTCTGGATACGCTCGAAAAAGAAAAGGTCAAGAGTAAGAGGCAAAATTTTGAAGATCGAGGAAAAAATACATTGAATGATGGCTACACCAAACAAGAAATGGAAAAAATTAGTGGCTATTTCTTGACTGAGAAGAATGATCCTCTTGGTTGCAGAGACAGACTCTGTTTTTTGATCAGTCATGCCATGCTTTGTCGTAGCCAAACAGCGCTTGGGATGCAGTTTGCTGATCTGTTCTCGCTTGTACTAGAAAATCAAGGAACATCGGAATGCATTGCTTTGGTTGCAAGTATCACTTTTGAAAAAACCAATCAGCATGGCAAGATTGAATATGGCTCGTCTGTTCGACATCATGATGTTGAAGTATGCTCTGTCGGTACTCTGGCAATGAACCTTTTTTCAAAATTTCATTTCGAGAAATCGAGCCTTTTCCTGACTTCACTCGTCGTGAAAACTGGTACGAAACTGTGGGCTTCAAGGGAGATGATAGGTTTTCGCCAATTACATACAGAGCTCAGCATAAAATATATATCGATGCTTTTAAACGTGTTGGTATTCATACCTCCAAGATCACTCATGCTAATCGTAAGAGTGCGTTGAACATGATTGCTCAAGAGAATGCTTCAAGCGACCAGAAAAAGATGGTCGGTAGGTGGGATACAGATCGTATGGTAGGTTGCTATATGCCGTCCGTACGTCGTCCTTTCGTTTATTCTTCCGGTGCCTATAAACAATTAGCTTACATTGCTGCTACTACGTATATATATTTCCTTACCGGACACCGGAAGAACTCCACCCTCTACAACCTTCTCCAACAATCGAAGTATCAAGCCACTGTTAAAGGAGACACACAAATAAACTTGTCCAGCTTGTTGGACACTGAACTTTGCCCTAACGGCACCATTGTTGTAAACATCAAAGCTTAGGCTTCTTGTTACAGTAACATTTTCCAAAGTTGTTTTTAAAGACATTTTTAGCTATGAAGAAAGAAGGAAAACGTTAATTCAACATATTTATACACATACATCCACTTCCTTTTTTGTATAAAACTGTAGATCAGTTTTACTAAAGTGCTGAGATGTTCAGTCACAAAGTGATTTTGGGTTTTTAAATTCTGCAATGTTTTTTTGGTTTTTTAAAATAGTAGATAAAGGAAAGAACGAAAGAATACATATGTATATACTTATATAAAGTAGTACGTAAAAGAGTATTTCTGGGAAAGATTAATCAAGTGAGAAGAACAGAAGAGCTCGATGGACTTGTCCTTGATTGAAGCGATTTTTTGATACATTATACGCATCATTATAATTACATTCCAAGTGATCTTGATTGTTCCCACTCATTCCCTCCCACAGTTTCTTCTTATTCTCTTTGTCTGTTTTTACTCTCTTTCAAGAAGAAAAAGATAAAAAAAGTTTCATTACTGTACTTTTTAATCTTACTCTGTACAAGGCCGATCATAAAATAAATGCAATCCTTTTTGGACTCGTTAAAAAGGTTGCACTGTGCGCCGTACCTGCCACAATTGCCGTGACTTATAATCCAATCTCGGATGTGGCTATAGGCTTTCTATATGCACTTTATTCTGAGAATAACGTGAAGTGAAGCATCTTAGCTGTGTTTGAATCAAAAAGAACAGGTTTAGGCATGGTTATTGTAGTGTGGAGTCATGTCCAGACTCGTACCCTACTATTATCCTATAATGGAAGAAATGTACGCGAGTCCGTGATACCGTGCTACAAGGCAGTGAATATAATTTTGTAAAAACTCAAAATAAGGAAAAGACACAGTTCTATTCAGTATCGTTCACTTTTGAGGTCCTTTGTGTGATATAAGGGATAAAGTATAGTCAAGGAGATTGAATACCATTGAATTTTATTGGCCAATCAAAAGTATAAGGATCCCGCGCACAAATCTTTTGAGGTGAAAGTTCACTGTCAAAATGGCCAATCTTTTCGTCACCCCCCTCCTTCCGGGAAAAGGCATATTTTTAAGCATTTTTTGAGGAGTTGTCTACTAGAATATCTTTAAACCATTAGCAACACTTTCAATGTGCTAAGTATACTATACAATCTATTACCAATAGCTTTATAGAGTTATGATGTAAATAGTCAGAGGTGTGTTATCTAATCTGTGAGCCTGCTCATTAGTTGAGGTAGTTTATTCATTGTTCATTGGAGAATGATTTCTTTGTTGTAATTGATATATCAAAATCATATAAAACAATGAATAGTTATTTTTCTTTTTCCTCTCCTCTTTACTATTCCTAATATTCACTAATGCGTGAAAAGAAAAAGCAAAGAGTGGTATATGACCCCGGAAAGACTATGATCAATAGACCAGCTAGCTGGAAGCGAAGTGCAAGTGAAGAATTAACTGGTTCATCATCCAAACGTGCCCGTAGAACACCGGAAAGAGAAGAATATCTTATGAACACTTTCATGGAACAACTCGAAATTCACGTTTCTTCAGAAATTCGACACTGCTATCAGACAGGCGGGAACCTTGGCGAGCTTCGTAAATCAATGTTATCACGATCAAGGTTACCTCGTGGGATAGTTACTGGCGCTGAAGCTAGAATTAACGTGAAGGCAGGAGAAATAGAGTCATTACTGCGAACTAAAAGAAGGCATGGAAAAACGCCAGTGCAGTATTGGAAGGACTTTGTTGAAGCTGAGTTCTTTAACATTGCTCAAAGAATTCGAAAAGAAGTCGAAAGCAGAGAAGAAACAACGGAGGAAGCGGAAGATACTAGTGCACAGGAACAAGAAGAACAACAAATAAGAACTTTTAGTGCCTCTTTGCTCCCACTTTTAAGATCAGATTTGCCCACTGATATCCAGGATGCTTTTTTAAAAACCATAGAAGAAGCGGTTGTTTCTGCTAGTGATTACATAGTTTCGTATAGTGTTCAAGTATATAAGCTGGTATTACTTTTGAAGAAATCAAGATTTTTCAAGTTAGATAATGATGAAATTATACTCCAACACAAAGTCGGTGTTAGCATTCAAGATATCGTACCAGAAAGCTTTTGCTGTCAAAGCGACATCACTCATTTCTCTCCTCCTATAGACAGAAGCTGTCTTACAGATGATGCCCTAAAAAAAGAATTTAACAGCCTTTTCAACCCAAGTCATCTGCAAATGATCCATGCAAGCTATTTTGGAATTCAAGATGTTACCGAAGAAACACTCAAAAAGCATCCTTTCCAAACAGCATTAAGACAGGCTCTTAACGAAGACGGAAGAAGAAGCGAATCAACTGATCCAGTTGTCATGAAGTTGGCGCTCAACAGATACATTTCTAATTTCAAGAATATGTGGTCTCAGAAAATGCGCTCTAGAAAGGTGTTGAATCGTGTACTCATTGTTCTCCTCAGAATCCATTTGGCTCCTAAGCGTGAGAGAAGAAAAATAGAGGAATTAAGAGAGCTGAAATAAGTCGCATCAATTTAAGCCCAGCTACAACTGATAGCGATGACGAAGTTATCATGGACATTGCAGCAGATACGAACCCTGCAGCGGCTCAAATAGTGCTAACTCTTGACGACGATGATGTTCAAGAATCGACAGACATCACAAGAAGAAGGATGAACAAACTAAGAACTATTACACGGCAGATTATTTTTAAACAATTTGGTCATATCATCACCGAAAGACATTTGAAAAACGTGCTCCCAGATATCCAGCCAAACGAGCTACAGGCTTGTGTTATGATTGCAAATTTCTTAATGCCATATCTGCCAACAGCGACCGATTCACACTCTGTCGCGCAGCAGCTACCTTTTTTTCTAATGGCTAACGATCTTTTTCAATGCACTGGATACACCAAATTTATAGAAAAGCTAGTACCTATGACAAGTCCAACAAGGCTTTTAGCTTTACAAATTAATGCGCCACAGATATATTCCCTTTTCAGTTCGTCAATGGACATTCATGATTTTAATGGTGATGTTATTACGTCCCGACAAATTGCAACAGAAAGTAAGGATGCTGTATTCAGTTCCTTCTTTGACATTGACAAGATCAACTCTCTTTGCGCTAGCTATGGCTTAAAGTTCGCCCATAATATACATGCACTGCCTGGGTTGAAAACAGTTCGAATTAATGGATACCTACGGAATCAAACTCCTTCCAGACTAGCTACTCCTCTTTCTGATACAAGAAGTATAAAAAGAAATTATGAAGCATTTGAGCGTAAGATGCCAGATAGAAGAATGATTCAGCAAGCAGAAGTCGATGCACTGCAAAGACAATTAAAGAAAATTAATTCTGAACGGCGAGAGTTTATGCTTAGAAACAATATCCGCGACTTAAAGAAACAATGGATAAGAAGTACAGATAGAAGACTAATAGCCGCTGATATAGAACAAAACAATAGGCTTTATCAAAAAATTCAACAAACGAAAGCTTCTAGAGATGCTATAAATGAAAGACTTATAGACACGAAACAGCAATTGTCAGATGCCAGAAGAAAAATATATAATAGTATTAATCAAACCACTTCCTATGGCAGCAACAATAACCAGCTACCTCGTGTTGAAAATTTCAAGCTTGATGACACTCAGTCTGATTTAACAAATTTCGCTTTTTCTGGGACGGATAATGGTATAGTGACAATGACAGAAACAGCAAAATTATCACTAGATCAATTCAAGTTTCATCTCAAGTTATATAACAGGTATTCAGCTTTGACAGAAGGTAATTTGATACAGCTTATTTTTGTGTATATTGAATCTAATCTATTTGCAGATACTACCAGGTTTCAAGCTTCCGCAGAAGAGGCAACGTTCTTCAGGTTTGCAAAGCCTTTCAAAGTACACGCGTCCGACATTGCGTATGGTAGTGGTGCAATTAAATTAAGAGCAAAGCTTCAAGGTGCCAAGAAAACAAAAGCTAAAGTTATCTCAGAAATTGAAGCAAAACTCAGTGAATGCAGCTTCCAAGAAATACACAACATAGAGGAATTAAACAATTGGTATAATGGAAGAATCACGCACCAAGACGTACTTCGAGATTTCTATTACTCCCGACAAAGAGTACGCCAATTACGAACGTATGAACTGCAAAAGCGAAAGTATATCGACAGGCTATGTTCTCAAGAGCGATCTTATGTGGCCTCAAGCAGTAAGAAACCATCAGTAATGTTTATTGGAGATAGCGAACTCTGTTTTGGATCGTCCATAAAAGGTTATCAAAGATATGGAGGACACTGGAAACCTATCAAGCATAGCTTCTACACTTCGGTTTGCATAATAAGCGAATATAATACGTCGCAAACTTGCATTTTTTGTTTTAAGAAGCTATTACATCCAAAACGCAGTACAGCAGACAAGAATGGTCGTATCAATTTAAAAAATGTGAATGGTGCTTTTATTTGCGTGAACCCGTCCTGTCCGTCAGTAAAAGCAGGTCAAAACACTCATGCTAGAGATGCACTGAGTGCTGTTGCTATTGGCTTGTCTGGGATGGCGACTTTACTGCTTGGAAGAACATTCCCTCAATTCAACAGAAATATCAGTCCATCGCAGACTGATCAATTCAACCAACTTGCTGCAGCTTTCTGTACAGGAAACGCTGTTAAGCCTATTACCGCTGGTAATAATACCTAGGGTAAGTTTTATTTGAAAAAATGAGTATAGGAAAATACTAACTTTATTGATATGTCTGTTTTTTTTTATTCCTCTTTTTCATTTTGTTTCGGTATGTATTTGAGAATATATGCATATCCCATTTACTAATTTTATATCTGTGTCTCAATTCTGGGAATCGTAGTTCATTTACCCTCTCAGTACCTGTGGCTAATATACTGACTGCCTTTCATAAACTAGCAGTCACAATAGTTGTGAGTAGAACAGCAGCAATAGCCTACTCTTTGAATGTCTTTAGTGTATCTTTTCATTCATACTTGGCTAAATGAAGGATAATTCAACACCACTTGAACTAAACACTGGTCAGGGTGCAAATAGATTCAAGGTGAATTAAACGGCAACTGAAGAGTACATAAGACTAAACTTTATATAGTATCAATCTTTTAAAAATCGAGTTGATCGATTAAAGGTGGATGTAGTGCGCAGATCCAGACTTGTAGAGGATGAACCTGACGATCACGGATCCTTTTTCTATGAGGCTTTAACATCATGGAAAGAGTTAAATTTGACTAGAAACTTTAAAGACTTTGTCAAGGAAATAACACCATTTGTAAAATCATTACCTTCGATTGTTTATCACAAGGATACGATAGTTGACATTTTGGAAAAACATCTTAAAGTGAAAGAGAGTATGGCTCTGGATGGTCTTTTAGAGTAAATATAGGCTGCATTACTTTTTATATGTTACTAAACTAAAGTTGTAGCTTGGTCACAAAACTTGCAAAGGATTTGGAAGGCGAATTTTACCCCTACTATCCTAGACTACTATCAGCTATTCTGCCTTTAGTATATAATAGAGATGTTAAGCTTCTTGAAGTAGGTTGCACTATTTAATGCCTTACAAGTAATCTAATATCTCATTCTAGAGCGTATTCAACTGCATTGCATACCTCTTCAAGTTCTTATCCAGACAAATTCTCCCAGAGTTGGATGTAACATTTAAGTGAGTGTTTATCTAGTTGAAGTATATGATGACGGCTAACATTGTTTAATTAGTCTTTTAAGTAATATGCTCGGAGAAGACAACCAAGCAAAACCATATGTTAGACGATTCACTGCAGAAGCATTCGCATTTTTATTACGAAAAACAAGAGGCATGGAACTTACCAAGATTATCAAGCACATTATTAATTCCTTAAAGCAAGAACCATCAAAGGAGTATGAGGAAGGGTTGGCAATGTTATTTTTTGAATCAATTAAAGTAAGAAACATATTCTGAAAGTGAGCAAATACTGATGCCTGTGTTTTTATTTATAGCAAATAGACAACCGTCTTCATTCAAGAGGTGAAGCCATATATAAGGAACTCTTAAATCAAGTATATAGAGAGGAGATCGCCGTAGAAGATTTACCATCAAGCGCTGCTTATAGCTTATTAACAAAAACAACACTTTTGATTCTGCATCATACTCTTAGACAGCATTTTACACCCATTATTAATATTGTAATTAATGACATAAAAGATCAACTTAAACATGAAAAGCTGAATGAAAGTACACTTGCGACTCAACTATCATTATTGGCTATGTCTGTTACAGTTCGTAAAGCAAGCAGAATTGAAGATTTTAAGCCGATCATTGCACAACTTCAGGAGCTTTCAAAAAGAATCTTTAGTGAAACATACACCACATTCACATACACAGAGTGTCTTCGAGCCATCATCGGATCACTTTATAATGGGCCTTTAGAAACAGTTGTCAGCGGTGGTCGTGTCATTTTGGAAGCCATATCCAATTTTGATAATGTACACCTTGTATACGGATTTTACCTCTCTTTAGCCAAGCTGGGTTGGAAAAGCTATGTGCAGATCGCGTTACCTTACGCTATAAAATATACCTCTGCCAACTGTAACCAATATCCTCATGAATCAATCTTATTCTGGTCAGAAATCATTGCTACAGACATCATTGGTTCAAATAGTTCAGGATCACTATCTGCCTGCTTTACTCCAGAAGGATTGCTGCGATTTTCATCTAATGGAAATCAATCTTCATTTCCAAACGTACTTTTGACATTTATGGATCAAGACTTTGATTGGGCAAAAGAAAGAGATGCCTTAAACATGACAGATATGCATTCTGATTGCAGTATAACATCCATCACCCTTCTCGGATCCATCCTTCGTCTTTTGCCAACAATTCATCTATCGCTGGACAAAGTGTCACCTGTTCTCTTTTCCATGCTTCAATCCCTCAAGAATTTCTTAAAGAACGATTCGGATAACAACAAGTTGATAAATGCACCCTATGTATTGGCAAATAGAAATTATGTCTTGGAATGTCTTTTAGGACTTGTTCTAGAGACACTTGCTTGGATTGGAGAACATGATGAACATGTTGTAGTTCAACTGGAAAACATGCATGACGAACTTGTAGAAATTCTGTTGAATCACTCTAAAAGTCAATCAGTTCTCTTTGGTATTTATCAATACTTGAATCTTTTGAAAAGCAGGTAAGAGAATCCCCCTTTGGTATTTGATTGCGCAAACTAAATAACATTGTTAGAACTACAAGCAACGACAGATTTTCATTAAACGCCTTGGAGAAGCTATATCCAGTCTTGAAACTAAATTTTAGTTCATATAACCGCCAATGTCGTTTGAATGCTTTCAAAATCATTACACTCTTTGAACAACCAACTATGAAACGAGATGAAAATCATAAAACAGACGAACAATGCGACATTGCTTCTATGGCTGTTGAGCTTGAAGAGATCGAAGCTTCATTTAAAGATTACAGAGAAAAGATCAAAGTGCTTCAAAAGCTCAATCTTATTCTATCTTCAAAGCGTGTGCCAGATATATACTCTGATTTTATACCTCGTATTGCTTTAGGTGTACTCACTATCAATTTGCGTCCATTGTGGGAAGAGGCGAAGAAAATACTTATTACCTTTTCTCAAATCAACCCTGCCACATATTGGGATATTATATACAACGAACTCACCAAATATGATGATGAACAGTCTCTTGTTTGGGATGGAGTGTCTGAAAGCGTCATTGCTGAGATGACTGCCCCTGATGAACCTGAAGAAACCAACTCGACAAAGATTGGCAAAATGTCCTTTGATTGCCCAACTTTAACCATGTTTACGCATACTGAAAGTAGAGCATGTATGATTATGAATGAAAAGAAGGGACAAAGCTTAGCCTTATTATTTGCAAAGGTATAAAAAAAGGAATTATGTTTTTTATATAGTGTCATTAACTAACACAACTCATATATAGCTATGTAAGCATGAAAGCAATCATATGGACTTTTGGAACTATTACAACATGCTTCTCTCAGCCTTGAAAGAAACACATACAGTTACTGAATCTAAAGGACGATTCTTGATCACTATATTTATTGATTTTTTCAATAATGAATTTTCCGCCTCTCGCGATGATGAAGAAGAAGAAGAAGTAAAGGAAGGTTCTCGAGATGAAACGACTGATATCTTGCCACGTTCAAACAGAATTACAAAGGCCAAAATGACAAGCTGGCTTGGCCTTTTCTCAGTCTTTACCAATACAAAGAGTGCTTATAGAAGTCAAGACTTGCATGAAACATTCATGAAAATCATTACATCAGGTGATGCAAAGCTGCAATCTGCTGCCCTTGAGTGTATCTTTACTTGGAAAGATCCTGGTATTAAGCCCTACGCAGATAATCTTCGTAACTTGGTGGATGATGTCAAGTTCCGTGACGAGATAACAACCTTTATTCAGAATGAAGAGCAAACCCAGATTGATCTTGCTCATCGTCAAGCACTGATGCCTGTTGTTATGCGTATTCTTTTTGGCCGTCTCATCCAAAAGAGTAAAGCATCAAGCAAAATCAGCAAAAGCGCTAGAAGAAAGGTGATCCTTAGTGGTGTATCATGTTGCCAAGAAAACGAAATCAGATACTTTATTGATTTGGCTCTAGAACCCTTCCAGGCTGTTGTTGAACTTCCTTCTGGTGACTACACAAGTAATGGAGAACTCATTCAATTCAAATTTGAAAATCAAGCAAAGCAGACTATGGAAACCATCCCATGGCGAAAACAGACTGGTTTTTTGAATTTACTTGATGATATTGTTAAGCAAATGGCCTCTCATGTTTTACCATTCCTCCCTGATCTATTAAAAGTGGTGTTGTATATTATCAAATATGCTCACAGTCGATCAGAGAATGCCATGGAAATTGATCAAGAAGACGATACAGCTGATCAAAGTACAAAATCAAAAGAAGTTCGAAATATGGCAATGAGAAGAATAGTTGATGTTATGAAAATCAATGGTGACTTTGACTTTACTCCATATGTTCCTGCCATGTTTTCTTCCTTCATTACTTCAAGAGTAGCAACCTTACCTGTAGATAGTACACAAGATGTTTCACCACTCATCAGCTTGTTCATCGTTTGGTCCAAAAAGCCAGAATATGCTCATTATCTTGTTGACTTTAATAATGAAGTAATGCCACAAATCATTGCTACATTGGGTGTTAAGAACTTGGGTGAACCAGTCCTCCATGCTCTTTTAGAAATTATTGAATCACTACTTGATCTTTGCGACAATGAAATGGAAACTGACGATCAGCAATCTTTAAGAGATAAAATCATTACAGCTCATGCGGATATGCTGCTTCAATCTTTACAATGCCGTCTTGTACGCTCTAAAGATAATACCAAGTTTAATACAGGAAGATACACAGCTCGCGAAATCTCAATCGTTGCTAGAATCGCCTCTTACACTAAAGATGGAGAACAGGCAGCTACAGTCATTGGGCTTTTATTGCCTAGTCTCAAAAAGTCTTCTAGTGCAATTCCTGAAAAGTCAAAGCAAGATATCTATATTATCTGGTCCAATTTCATCCCCATCATACCTGGCTTAGAGGTTGGCTCATACTTGTACACTGAGTACTATACTGTAGCATCATCCATGTTTGCAACGGCTTACTCACGCGAAAGTCGAACCGGCTTGTTAGATGTATTCCGTGGCCTATCAAAGCTTGACCCCCAACTCGATGTTGTTGAACAGCTTTTGACAAAGCTGAATGCCTACTCTGCAAGACGTCTTGATGAACAAGATGTGGATAGTGCATTAGAAGCTTTAAATTCCATTGTAGATAATTATTACCTCAAACTGAACTCCTACCAATGGCTTCCTATCTTACAGCAGTTGATCCATTGTATGCACAATCCCGAAGAAATAGCTATCCGTGGAACAGCAACTCATTGTATGTCTCAGTATTTGGTAGCTGCCTCGCAACAAGCAGATAAAGAAGAAAAGGAGAAATTAGTCGGCCATATTCAACATGTGATTTATCCCGCTATCAAACGAGGCCTTCGTTCTCGTATAGAACTTGTGCGCGCAGAATTTGTCAGTTTATTGAACTCTTGTATAAAGACATTCCCTGAACTGCCAATGTTTGAAGACTTGGTCCCGATACTTGGTAATGGTGATGAAGAAATCAATTTCTTTAGCAATATTTACCATATTCAAAACCATCGTCGTTCTCGAGCCTTGCTTCGACTTGCAGAGTCCACACAACAGTTGACATTCAAGATCTCTACAATTAATCATATCTTCCTCCCTATCATCACTGCATTTTTCAACGAGAGTGATCGTGTAGCAGACAACAACTTGCTTCAGCAATGTACCTCAACTTTATCAGCACTTGTTAAGCTACTTCCCTGGAACCATTATCATAGAATTCTTCAAAACTACTTGAAGATTGTTAAAGCAAGTGAGGAAAAAGAAAAGCTTTATGTCCGTGTGATCATTGGAATTCTTGATTCCTTCCATTTTGACTTGAAACCTCTCACTCTTTCTGATGAACAAGTTGAAAAGGTCATGGGACGTCAGAAGGCTACTATAAACTTTTTAACGAGTGAAGAAATTGCTAAACAAGCAAACAAGGAAGAAGACGAAGAGATGGATATTGAAAAGGACGAGGAAGAAAAGCACAAAGATGAACTTGAAACGATCCACAATATCTTAATTGAAAAGGTCCTACCTCAGCTGAATGCTTTGCTAAATGATAACAAGAGCAGAAAGTCTATTTTGGTGCGTGTGCCTCTTGCCCTGGGTATTGCCAAGCTCCTTTGCAACCTTCCTGAAAAATCAAAGCGTGTCAACTTACCTGGTCTGCTGACATCCGTCTGTCATATTATCCGTAGCAGAGCTCAGGATGTTCGTGACGCTACTAGAGAAACATTGATTAAGCTCAGCGCGTTCTTGGGACCCTCCTACTTTAACTTTTTCATTACAGAACTCAAAGCAGCTCTTACTAAAGGTTATGAACTTCATGTGCTTGGTTATACTATCAATGCTCTTTTATTAGACATGATACCTCGCTTAAATGTGGGTGACCTCGATTATTGTCTACAAGATCTTGTGAATGTGTTGATCAATGACATCTTTGGTGGTATTGGAGAAGAGAAAGACGCAGATGAGATGACAGGAAAGACAAAAGAAGCAAAGAGTCGTCGCAGTCCAGCCTCATTTGAGCAGCTTGCTAAAGTCATCCAATTTAAAAATGTTGGTATACTATTGGTACCTCTAAAGGAAATTATGTCTGAAACAGAAAGTGGTCGTACGCTTCGTAAGGTGGATGAACTTCTTCGCCGCATTTCTCAAGGATTGGTGAATAATCCCGGATTTGAAAGCATGGAGTTACTTGACTTTACTTATGGCTTAATTGCTGAAAATATCGAAGACTACAAGGCTGTATCAAAAGTTAAAAAAGCTAAAACCCAAAAAGAGCTAAACTTTGAGGTTCAGACTAAACGCCCAACGATTGAACCTGTGGATTATTACAAGGTTAACGCTTACCGATTTGTTTACTTTGGTCTCAACTTGTTTAGTACCGCTTTAAAGAAGATTGCATATGATTTGAGCAAGTCAGATGTTAGCGAAAGATTCAAGAAGCTTGTGAATGCAGTTGGTAATACTTTATACAGCAAACATTCTGAAAACGTTGTTCTTGCTGCACGAATTATGGCCAAGTTGATTGTGATGCCTATTCCTAATATTGCATCTGCAGTGGATGTCTCGATTGATCGATCTTTTGCTCTTATCAAATCTTCTGGTGGAACACAGACGGCTACAGTACAGGCTTGCTTGAAGCTGTTGACTGTCTGCATTCGTGACAACTCCAAATCCTCTTTGACTGAAGCCCAGTTAACCTATATCCTCAACTTTATCCGCCCTGATATGGAGGAAGTAGAACGACAAGGAGCGATCTTTAGTTTGGTCCGTGCCATTATCTCTAGAAAGTTTGTCGCCCCTGAAATGTATGACTTGATGGATAATGTATCGAATATCATGGTTACCAATCAAAGTAAAGAGATCCGTGAACAAGCACGATCTGTATACTTTATGTTCTTGATGGATTATCCACAGGGTAAGAATCGACTCAAGAAGCAGATGAGTTTTATCATCAAAAACCTGGAATATGAATTCGAAACCGGCCGTGAATCCATTATGGAACTACTTCATCATATCATCACAAAGTTTAGTGCTGATGTACTTTCTGAATTTGTTGACGCCATATTCCTTGCATTGGTGATGCGTTTAATCAATGATGATTCTTCTAAATGTCGTGAAATGTCTGCTGCTCTTATCAAGTCGCTCTTGACTCATCATATGGACAAGTTACCAACAATCTGCAAGCTCTTGAATGTTTGGTTAGATGAAGGTAAAAAGCCTAGCTTACAGCGAGCAGCATGTCAAGTATATGGTTTACTCTTTGAATCGTTTGGAGCACAACTTCGTGGACAAGTTGCTGGACTCATCCCTCGTCTCTCTTCCATTTTTGATACAAGTAAGCAACAGGCTGAGGAATTAGCTGAATCTGCAAGTGTTGAAGAAGAAGATGAGTATGAAGATAAAATGGACACTGATCTTCAATGGGAAGTAGCATACTATGCGATCAACATGTTTGCCAAGATAATCAAAGCATACCCTAAAGTTGTACATGAAAAAGATACAGAATCTGTGTGGCCTAGCATTCAATATATGCTATTATATCCTCACACATGGATCCGCTCATCTTCAACTCGATTGTATGGCGTTTACTTTTCGGATATTGATGCAGAAACACGAATGGTCAAGAACACATCGATCAAGTGCACTTACTTGACTAAAGAAACGCTTAAAACCCTGGCTATAGATTTCTTGGAACAACTGAAGAGCAAATATACCACACAAGAACATGCAGATCAGATTGTCAAGAATCTCTTCTTTATTGGCAAATGTTTCTATTACATGCCTGAGGAAGAAGATAAAGAAGATACACAAGAAGATGTGCATATTGATGATGCTCGTGATGAAACAATTGAAGAAGAAAAAGATGATACCGCTGCTCAGGCTGCTGCCAACATGATCAAGCAAGATGCTCATAAGAAATCTCTCAATTGGCTATTCCGAAAGTGCTCATTTGATGCTCGAGGTGCTGCTATTAAGAGAATTCCTAATGCAATCATTATGGTAAAATTGGTTTAATCTTCATATTTTCAAATATTAACGTCCTTTTTTTTAGCGTTCATCCATTTTCAAATGGTTTGCTGCCATGTGTAATACTATGACGGCTGAGGAACTACCTCCTTATTTGATGCCTGTGATTGCTCCAATTTATAGAACTGTCAATGACGAACATAACAAAGATCCAAATTTTGGTAACTACATTTATCATTAAAAAAAAAAAGCTCTTGCTAACTCATATTGCTTATAGAATCACTACAGCAATTAGGTAATGAAGTCCTCAACTTGCTACAAAACAAGGCGGGTCCTACTGTTTATTTCGCTGTCTATCAGCGTGTTCGTCAACAAGTGCTAAAGACAAGAGAGCAACGTAAAACGAAGCAAGCAATCTTGGCTGTTACAAATCCTGCTCTTGCTGCCAAGCGTAAATTAGACAAGAGACAAAAGGCTATGCAAGCCAAAAAGAAGAGAAAGCTATGATGTAATCAAGTTCGAACCTCTTAAATAAATACAACATTGATTAGATATACAGTCTTTTATTATGTCATATTAAAACTTGAGTGTATAAGTAATAGCCTTTCCTGCCAATACACCATTCAGCAAATCAATCTTTAATTGCTTTTTACCAAAGACGCCAAGACGAACTGACAGGTTGATGGTTGATAACTTTTGAGAAGGATCGGCAACAGTAAGACGATACATCCTGTGTTTGATTTCTCGAAGTATTAGTACACATGGACTATCGGTATCAACAATAATGGATTTCCAAGGCATCTTGTATTCTCCAGACGTCCAAAAGGCAACAGCTATCACTTTGTCTTCTTCACTGTAAGCGGCATTTACTTGAGGAGATGCATGACGATAGTCCAAGGTTATTGGTATCTTGTTCGCTTTGATGCCTTGATTAAATACATCATGGTCAATTGAAGGCTGTACGATATACTGTGTAAGAAGACCATTGTTTGTATTATTCACATGTTTGACGTAAGCTGTCCAAACACGCTCTTCTTCTTTTCCTTTAGAAATACCAATGGATGACCAGTTACCATTCTTGATCTTTGAATCCACTTGGATCAATTCTGGCTCTGGGAAATAATATCCGATATCATTGTGCCAAATACTGTTGGTGTGTAGTGCTGTATACGAAGTATTGGTATTTCGTAACTTTCCATTAACGAAGATATCCCCATCACGACGGCGTTGATCAAGGACTGTGACAAGAGGAGCAGTTGTATTAGTAGAACTTACTGAGCCCAGTTGAATAGCGTACGCATTAGGGAAAAAGAATGCTGTTTTCTTAAAAGATAGATGACCATTGAATGGATTCAGATAATCAAAGACCACAATGCCTGTATCCCCATCAGTTGCTCCGCCCACAAAGTCTCTCTTGCCTACTGTCTTTGATTTTTTGCAGTTTAATGGTGTTGCTCCCATGTCCACAGTTATACCAGGGATAAGCTCCCAGTTCCATACAGCAAAGATGTCCTTATATTCATCACCACTCAAGTAGTTGTAGATAGCACCATCACTTAAATGAAAGCCAAAGGGATTTTGAGAGTTGACGCATTCAGAGTTAACCGTGCGAGTTGAATACATTTTCATAGTAACAATGTAATCAGACATGCGATGTACAAAGTAGTCAGCATTGTAGAAATAACGACTACCGATGAGCTTGCCTTGGTTTGCGCTTGACGCTGGCTGAGTTAGGCGATCTTCAATTTCATCAAATGTCCTTTCTGAAGCCCACCCCTCAGTGCCTTCTGATATAGTTGGAATATCAATAGCAACTCCACCACTTGCTTGTTTATCTGAATATTTGAAAGTAATCATACGACCTATGACACTATATTGCCACAGTAGTGAATGGAGGTCTGTGTCTGCCATGATCATCCATTCTGTGCCTTCTATTAAAGTCTCAAAGGCATTCTGAACATCAATCGAGGGAATAATATCAGTACCCTTTGTCTCTATAAAAACAGACAGTAGATCATTGATGTAATCCTTTCCATAGTTTCCGTTGTAAAGTAATCCATTATGCTGCATAAAGGAGCCATCTGATTGAATACCATCACCAGCAACTACGGGGCTTATTTTTGCACCGCTATAAAACAAATCCAAAGCTTTCAGCAGTGTATTAGCGTCGTTGTTTAATAGGCCTAGCGAAATTCCAATGGATGATACATCTAACAAATTGGCGCCTGTAAGAGGAGATTTGGTCATAGTAGCTCTTTTGAATGCCCGTGACATAATTCTGTGGCAGATACCCAATTGTTCTGGACTGAGTTCATCTTTAATGACTAAGGAGATGCTGCCAATGAATCTTGGAATTAATATGACTTGATCGTACCAATTTGGATTCCACAGGCCAGGTGTGCCACAAGGACATTTGGATCCCTTTTTCCCGCCTTTATCGACACAGTCATCTTCTGTGAAATCATTATCAAGCCAATAGTTAAGCGCCAAGAGTGTTTTTGATAACAGTTCTTTGTTGGAAGTATCATCACGGTAGCCTATTGCTAACTGAACTATGTACAAAAAAAAATAATTCCTTGCTTAATATAACAAATTACTTGGAGTTATGCACTTACGCGTTCTTAATAAATGATTTGTAGCTGGCCAATTTGCGCGTCTACAGAGTATACGATTCATTACGGTTATGTTATGGATGCAAATAAATGATCATACCTTGCTGCACAGCCAGATAAATAGTTTATATTTGACCATGTTCCTGTTACATTATTAAGTGTACTTGCCCTATGAGTTATCAATTGATTAGACAAAATGAAAACATCGAGATATAATAAAAGAAATACCATTTATCAACTGTTGCTTCGGTAGGCTTATATTGTGTTATGATATTGTTAATTCTTCTTTCAGTGATAATATCGATATCTTTGGTTGAGGGAGTAGGAAGAGCATTTATACAAACATTGAAAGACGTAAAAAGGTAAATTAAATAAATAAACAAGTATATGTACAACATATTCCAAAAGTAAAAATAAGAAAGAAAAGAAAGAAAAAAAGAAGCGAACAATGGTTGCTTTTATATATGCAAACAAAAAAAAAAGATGATCGTATATAGCTCACTAGGTTATTCTTGACTTAGTCCAACATACTCCTGATCGATGATCTAAAGTAAGCTGAACACTTTTAATTCTACCCTTAATTGTTTTGTTGTGCATTCATACTACAGTAAGCATGACATTAAGAAAATGTTTGAAGATGTTGTATAGATCATCAGGATGGGAATGTGATTTTCTCTTCATACTTGTGATACCACGGAGAATATATACAAGAATGAAAGGCCAAGGAAGCCATGGTAACAGATTGAGTGATTTGATGTCTATTTTTTATTAGAAAAGGTTATTTATAAATATAAACAGTAACACCAATTACACAAATGTAGCATCAATAAAAAGGAGTAAGTTACTCTTCCCCCAAAATACGATCCAAAAAAGGACTTGTCAGCTACCACCTTTATTTCTATAATAAATGCATTGTACAACTAAACAATCGAGACCAGTTTAAAGTTTGACAGTAAAGACGACAAGTGTGCCATCATCAGTTACGATCATGGGGAATTAACATAAAACGTATAACATAAAGTCATTCATCATACACACAAGTCATGTTGCAGAACAAGACATATAAGCAGTTAAAGGCTAAATATGCACCAAGTCTAACCCGAGGCTTACAACATGTCTGGGCAAAAAGAACAAGCAGCTACAAAAATACCCAAATAAAGTATAAAAAAGCTGCAAGTGCCGATAATCACTTGATTTTGCATTATATTTTTGGACCCACATGACGATTTAAGAATAATCAATAGGAGGAGTATTAAAGATAGTTAAGGATCATTAAGGATCGTCAAGGGATCGCTGAGTACTATTACGTTATTATGGAAATTCTTAGCCACCAACTGTAATAGGCATGGTCAAATACGATAATTGTTAACAAAGGATTTCCATAATGCCTTTGATATATATTTTAAAAAATAAAAGAGAAGTGGAGTTTACACTCAGAAAGAGTAGTTTGAAGATATTCTTTATTCCTATGGAGCTGGTTTAGTACGAGATGAGGTATTCATTAACTTTAGCGCTAGATTTTTTTACTCATTAATGTCTTGTACGTAGGTAGCGTTGTGTATTAGTTCGTTATTGATTTATGTGACAAGTAAAAAGCCTTTTGTTGATGAATAATGGACAGAGATTATGAGTGAAAGCAGAAAAGAAAAAAAAGATATTACTTCACCAGAAGAGATACTTTTACCATTGAAAGACATGAGCAAGGTAAATACAACGTCAAGGATAAGTATATAAAATGTATTGGTTTATCTCTGACCATAGTTCCGTGTCGAAAGTTACGTGAAATTAGTTACTCATCCCACTTTCAATAGAACACCAGCCCTCCCCTGCTCTTACAGAGCCTATGCTAACGGCATGATAACCAGTGTCATAACAATATCAATAAAGTATCTAAGGGACATTATTAGTTTAAAGTCCTACATGAATACAGCAGTTCTCCATGGACAAATCAGAAATTGAAGACATGGAACGATAACAAATAACGATTAAAGTGAGCCATTAAGCAGCCCATTCGTTTTCAATACATGGCAAGGTCAGTAATGAACACGCTTTCCTTAAAAGTTAATCTAAACTATCAGTAACCAAGGAACGAATTAAAATTTTTCAGGGTACTTTGTTTCAAACTACGCTGATGACCTACAACAAGCATCTACTCTTCAAAGATCAATTATAATGTTGTTAGAATGTATATTTTATATATTGGTTTGTAAAGAAAGATATGCATATCTTCTATTATGGATAAACATGATATGTATTAGTCAAAGAGTAGTGTTACACCAACCCCTTACTCGCTGAATAAAATATCAGAACTCAGGTAATGTCATTTTAGCTCATTCTTTTTTGTTTTTTTTTTTTTTTTTTTAATTTATTTCCATCATGGCCAACTTTCAACGACTGCCGATAGATATACTGCATCTCATATTGGATTATTTGAAAGAAAATAAGGATATAAAGAACTGTAGACTTGTTTGTTTACAATGGTGCATGGCATTGACATATCGATTGTTTCAAGACATATCTATTAAAGACGAATATCATCTCAAGGCACTATTGGACTTAACCACTAGCTCAAAATCGAATAGATTGATTCAACTTGGTCAATACGTTAAAACGCTGACTATCTACAATAGTCGTGACTATAAGCAAATGCCTGTTATCACACGCCATGACTTTGAACAACTAGTCAAATCTTGTCCACATGTTCATAAGCTTTTATTGGACGCCTTTACTTTTGGAAAGTACATATCAGCTTACTTACTTGATATCAGTGACGATACCAAATGGAAAGTTCAGTCATTTGGATTGAAGCATATCACTATGGACATTTATTACAAATACAAAGACTCCATCACGGAATTCTATGCTCCTTACAGGATGAAGAGTATACGTGATTTGGCATATTTCCCGTTACTCCAACAAGTTCACTTGCATGCATTTTCTATTACGACTATGGAAGACTTTATGTTTATTTTTGATACTTGTAGAAACATACGTGATATAAGCACGACAGTTGACATAGACACACCCTCACATATTGCTTGTCCTCAAGATCTTTACCCCTCTTTGACTCGAGCAGAGTTTGTTTGTCGCGGCCGACAGATACCAAAGGGCCTTATCGATTGTATCATACGTCGATTCACTCAGATATCCAACATTTCATTTTATCTGGACAATGAATCTTCAAAGCCTATTGATGGATCAGATTATGATAGGCTGGTGAAGCATGTTGTCAAGCATCTCAAGCAAGAATCAAGGTTGAGTTTGTATAAACCTATCTTTAATGCAGAACATCTCGATCAAGCGGCTATTACGATAAACAACTGCCTAAAGAGTCTCAGTAAACAATCATTCATCACGTCAAGCGTACATTTTACGATTATCCAGAGTATGTCATGGGATAATGAAACCGTCAAGCTGTTGGATGCATTTAAACGACACGACGATGACATGGTTCACCGTTATCTCGAGCTTCACTGTCCGGGTAGATATCCTTTACAAGAATTAATCTATTATCTCAGAAATGTCAAACCATACATTCAAGAATTAACCATGATGAATGACGACTCGTCTTCTGTTACCTCAGCAGACCACATAGACGCCACCTTATATCAATGTCACCAGCTTCAAAAGTTAACCTTTTTTCGTTATGGGTTGCCATCACTTCAGGGTTGTGTCAACAGAGCGGTACAGTCTATATGTATTGCTTCATGTAATATTCATACTGGGTTCTTTGGTGACCTTTCCACAGCCTTTCCTCGCTTAAAAAATATCGATCTGCGTTGTAATACGATTGTTTGCGATTCTGACGGAACTGGATCGAATATAATAGACCTAGGAAGCTTAATATTGGACAGGCTAACACTTGTATTAAGCATCCAAAATGACATGCCCACATCCGATACCCAGGAATATCTTGTATCTCTCAAGACACATAGAAAAACCTCCTATTTTGTCATAGACAACCAGAGAAACCCTAGAAAGCTTAGTACTGATGAAGCAACAGAAAAGGATAAAAGTATAGATTATCTAATCAATTGTCATGATGTTCAGCAGTTTGCTCTAGACATAACCATTTCTTCTTAATGCCTCCATAGACAGTTCTGTTCTACTATTTATTTTCCATCTACTGTATTATTAATTCTTTATTAAATAAAACAATAATTTCATAGACAATGTTCAGAATCAGTCCTATGATAAAAGAGCTTGATTATTTACGCTTTATGTAATCCTTGTCCGCTGATGGTCGTTTCTAACCTCCATGTTTGTTACAATGGACGCCAAGAAGGATCACTTCCCAAAAAGGCAATCTGTTAAACTCAGACATTAAATTCAAATAACCTGCAGTGTTGCCTTTTAACCCTTTCAATAACTCCCTTTCATTATTCTTATTTAATAGTTTACCATGTCTTACCTTTCTGCCGATAGAGCAGAAGCAGAACTTGCTCAGAGTGTTCGAAAAGCATGTAATGCTGAAGAAGTATCACCTAAACGAAAACACGTTCGAAGTAAGAAAAAATGAGAGGAACTTTATATCATTTTTTATTAATACATGTGTAGTCTGTGTTGTCTATACCTGGGACCATCGCTCTTCAGCCATCATTTGGAATATACTCAAAGTACAACCTTTGTTATCTGATGAAGTTCAAGCTTTCAAGGCATTAATTCTAGTTCATAGAACCATCAATGAAGGACATCCTAATGTAACTAAATGACGACATATATTATTGTTCATCACTCAACTTACATCCTAACATTTTAGGCTATTAAAGACGCTATTAGAGAGACAGGCTGGTTAGAGACTTGTGCTCGAAGTGTTAGCGGAGACGGTATTAAAGGATACGGTACACTAATTCGGGCCTATGTCGACTTGCTTATACACAAACTTCAGTTCCATCGCACTCATCCTGAATTCAACGGTACTTTTGACTATGAAGAATATATTAGTTTAAAAAATATCGATGATCCAAATGAAGGGTAAGGTAAAATGTAAGTAAATATTATGACTGACCTTGGTTTCTTTTCAGATTTGAGACTATCAACGATTTGATGGACTTGCAGGATCATATCGATAGATTCCAAAAGACAGTATTTGCCAGTTTCCGTCATCACTCAAATAATGAGTGTCGTATTGGTGCTCTTCTGCCTTTAATAGACGAGAGTCACGGTATCTACAAGTTTATCACCAGCATGCTGAGAGCCATGCATCAAAGTAAGAACTTTCTTTGAACCTTTACTGTTTTCTAAACTTATTATAGAAACCGATTCTTCTGATGCTCTTGCACCACTTCGACAAAGATTCAATGCACAGCACTACGCACTTTTGAAGTTTTATTTTGAATGCTCTAACCTACGATACTTGACAAGCCTTAAGCAAGTACCTGTGCTTTCGCAAGACCCACCCTCTTTGATTGACGCCAGCACACCACAGCTTCCTAAGCGACCTGAAGTAGCCCGC